TTTCTCTCTGTCTCTCTCCCTCTCTCTCTCCTTCACCTCCCTCTCTCTCTCTCTCTCTCTCTCTCCTTCTCTCTGTCTGTCTGTCTCTGTCTCTCTGTCTCTGTCTCTCTGTCTCTCTCTCTCTGTCTTTCTGTCTCTGTCTCTCTGTCTCTCTCTCTCTCTTTCTCTCTCTCTCTCTCTCCCTCTGTGTCTCATTTACTCACTCTCTTAGTCTCACCCATTCACTCCCTCCCACCTTCCTATCACACTACACAACAACTGTATGGTGTCCCCACCTAGATCAGGTCTCAGTGTGAGAGGCTGATTGACCCCTGGAGTGGGCGTCGCCCCAGTGCCAGGTCCAGGTGTTGGCTGGTAGGGGTCAAGGGTCGGTTTGTTGAAGTCACATTGCATGAGGCGGCAACAGTAGTCATTGGGGTCGGGGATCAACTGACACTCAGATGGCACAAAGGAATATGATGGGCACCTGAGGAAGGGAGAAAAATGGCAGTTGTACATAAAACAAGTTAATAGGGACAATCACGGCAAAAAGAAGAAAAGCAGCTCTCTTTTTGTGTGTCAATGAACAAATTCAAGTGTGAGTTTGACATAATATAAGCACAAAAACAATATAATTCCCATTTAGTGGTAGTAAAAATCAAGACTGACAAACAGACACAACATAGGGAGAGTAAAAAAATAGTACCAGCCAGCAACGTCCTCTAACCACCTGCATGAACAAATAAAATAAAATAGAAACAAATGCCGCTACACAGCAAAACTAGCTTAGTCCTTTGATGAAAGAATCAAATCTCAGCATTTAGCTGTAAAAAATAGAAATTTAAATACTAAAAGATATGGAAAATGGAAAGGAAAAAACCTCAATAATTGCACCAAGTTTTAACCCTTCCAGCCCCATGCGCGTATATTTTCAGCAGTGCTTGTACCTCCCACCGTCCCAAGAGAGTATAATCTCAGTTTCGGGGGATACCGAATTTGCACATTTTTCGAAATTAGCGAACCTAATTAAACGTGAGTTTTCATAATATTTGTTCATTTACCTTTAAACAAAGCTAAATGTTATTATCTTTTTAGAATGCATGCCTCTTTCTCTGAAATACCGCTGTATTGGCTGGGACTGGGGTTAGGGAGTGCACAAAAATGGCTGGGGCTGGAAAGGTTAACCAAGTTTCATACCCGAAATGAGCTTTGATCTCTATTATATTACATTTTGGAAAGAAAAAAGAAAGTTATGTATCGTACCTCTCATCACATTTATAAGTCCCTGTTGTCTCATTGACACACTGACAGTTGTATTCACAGCCATCTTGCCACTTCATACCCTGACGGTAATCTAGGCCTTTATACACACACGCATCTGGGAAAAGACAAACCAATGGTGAAAGTTGCATCGTGGTTAATATTGAAAAAGAGTATTTGTCAACAGAGCAAAAAACAACAACCCCCAAACAAACTTAACTGGTTTTTTCTGTTTTCAATAATCATTTAATAGAAATTCAAGACAACCTATGATCAGTAATTGCTTCACTTCTAAACTAAAAACATATTTATATGTGTCTGATACAGAGTTTTCCTACAAAGGATTAGATCTTAGCCTTATTCTTTTTTTACATGTTAAATTTGATTAGCAGGCACCCACCATAAATGAAACAAAATAAAAAGTACAGTATTCTGATATGCCATGGAAGATTTGATTGGCCTTATTGAAAGACACAAACTTCCATAAAAAGAATCTGTACTTCAGTGATGAGAGAAAACAAAAATTCTAGTTAAAATTTAAAAAAAAAAAAATTTCAAGAGTAATCTGTATGTCCTTCATGAGATTTGGGCAAAATAATATTCTAAAAGGCACTTTCAGGTACTTTTAGCAATTTGACATAAATTCCTCCTTCAAGTTGCAAAATTTCCAGAGTTCTTTGCAGCGAGACAATAAAAAATATACAGAAATTCAATTTTTAAAACAATAGGTCACAACCTAGACGGTCATAAAAACAGGCCACCTGCGCGTGACTGACCTAGATTCCTTGTGGGCTGGCACACCCGTGTAATAGGCCCACAACCGCAATAATGCGCCAGTGAAAATTATTTGTTCCGGTCACCTGGCGCAGTTCTGCACCAGGCCCGAGAAGTCTGTTGTAGTTACTCTCCTGGCTGAGTGACAGATGGGGTATTTTGTACTGCTGGCTGTGTGACTGCAAAGTGTTAAAAACAGGGTCGAGGCAGCCCTCACCTTAGACTATCTAAATTAAGTCAATGTGGGCTTAAAACATTTGCAACCACTACTACCAATTCAGATTCCAAAGTGTCTGGGGATTTAAGAAAAGTCAACATCTCTAATTCATGTAATAATAATAATAATAATCGATAGCATTTGTATAGCGCAAATCCCTGCTCAACAGCAAGCTCTATGCGCTTCACAATCTATACTATTACCCCAGCAGACCAGAGAGCATTCTGAAACAACCTCAACTTCCTGGGAAGCATACAGTGCAAGCAGCCATTTATAGTTACCCCAGCAGACCTGAGAGCATTCTAAAACAACCTCAACTTCCTGGGAAGCATACAGTGCAAGCAGCCATTTATAGGCGCCGCTAAAACACTAACATACTGACAAGGAAGTGTACACAAACACGAGCTCTCACGTTCTGGCTTGAGTGTGACTCCGGTATTAGGGTCCGGCGTAGGTTGAGGCTTGGGCGCCTGTCCTGTCACCACCCCGGGCACAACAGTCACAATGGTGGGTGTGGGTGTGGGGGCACCGGCGGGCAGAGGGGTGTAGGTGGGAGCCGGGGTGGGGATGCATTCAGGAACTCTGCAGCAGGTGGGATCCTGGGGGTCTGCCACCATTCTACATTCTGGTGGAATACTGGCGTATGTCGCACACCTGAATAGAGAAAAGAAATTTGTTTGTTTAGTAAGAGTTTTACGGTGCTCACAACTGCATAAGGTTATATGAGTATGCGGGACAGAAGCTGATTGGTTTCACATTAAGCATTTTCAGTTGTGGTAGAAATTTATTTTGAATTTTGACCGGGTGATGGCAAAAGCCTACTCTTATCAATTTTAGAACCATCAAGGGATCTTGAAAATACACAACTTGCACACAGGAACTCCGAGATTTTTTTGGTCTTTATCCATGAAGGCTAGGTGTTCGATTATACCTACCCTAAGATGAGGAGTGTTGCTGAAAGACTGCAGTAAGAAGGAGCCAAGAGTATCAGCAGAAAGGGTCAGGAGCCCAGAGGAGGAGGGGAGAGGGGGAGGGGGCATAAAGTGGAGATCAAAGCACATGAAAGAACATGACATGAGACCAAGAAAAGAGGTGAAAGGGGAAAATTTTAGAGAAGAATATTTTTCATCACTGGCTGGTTTTGAACTTGGGACCTATTGAATGAGAGGTGGACACAGTATCTCTAGACCATGAGAGCCACTTAAAGAAATTTGTGTTACAGAGAATCATCACAAGGCAATAATATTTATATAGTGTTGGGAAAAGGCAAAATATATTAAGCAGACAAGAAAAAAAACCCCTAGTAGTAACCAGTAGGACCTCCCTACTTTCACAACAAAACAATTTCTACGGGACAATGCATGTTTCTTATACAACCTCAATTCACATCCTTACCACACTTTTGCTCGTCCTATACGGCAACGTGGGAGCTACATGTGACAAACGTGAAAGAAAAAAGAATAAGTTCAAATCAATGTCAAATATAGCACTCATTATTTATATATCTGGGTATGTTGGACAATTAGTAAGGGAAAAAAGTGCTTAAAACTTATAGTTTTGATCAAATTAAGTATTTTCACTTACCTATCTCTGCATGTCGTGTAGTTTGCTGAAGCATCTTGACAAATACAGACTGAGTCACAGCCATTATACCAGGACTGGTCTTGAGAGTACAATACACCACTGTACTCACAAAATGCTGCAAAACACCATACAAAAGGGGAAAATATAAAGTACAAACTAAGAATATCAGGTTTACAATATCATTCATTGTAGTTAACAGTACAGTTGAACCTGTGTAAGACGGCTACCCATTGTCGAGGAAAAAAATGGCCGTATAAGACAGGTGGCCGTCTTAGGCAGGACTGATTAAGATAAAGAAAACAAACCATTCCTTTCTGAGGTCCCAACCGAAGGTAGCCACATTGTTGTCATTGTTGTTTTTGTTATTGTTATTGTTGTTGTTGTTGCTGTTGTTTTTGCTGTGTTTTTTTATTTATTTTTGTTGTTGTTGCTGCTATTGTGCAAGGGTGGACAGAGTGCTATGGTAAAACAAACACATGAGTCGCCACCACTCAGAGAACGAGTGACGCTTCTGTCGCAAGTTCATGTTGACGTCCATTGTTACTTTGTTACAGACTGGGTAAACAGTGACCACTCATTTCACTTTCGATTTGTGTATGAGTTCTGGGCGGGGGTTATGGGTTATGAGAGATCACATGCTTACCTCCCCAGCAGCTGAAAATTTGCTACCTATTGGTCAACAGTGGGAGGGGCCAACGCAACATGATCGATTGGAGGGACTACCTAACAACAACGACAGGTGATTGGATTATGACGTCTAGCCCACAACGCCAGGGGCCAAATCACAATTTATTACAAAATGTAATGGAGTCACTAAGGTGGCCGTCTAAGACAGGTGTTATTGTTTGGTGTGATAGGGGTTGTGTGTTAAAATATGGTGGCCGTGGCCGCGTTGGACAGGTGCCCGTTTTACACAGTTAAATTATATAGAAAAAACACAATGGGGTGAAAAGGAAAGTGGCCGATTGTACAGGTGGCCATCTTATAGAGGTGGCCGTCAGGGCCGGTTTGACTGTATATCACCAAGTTTCCAGAACTGCTTGAAGTCATGGTAATAGATAGAAAAAGAGACACTGTGGTATTAATGCTATCTTTAGTTACTCCTTCACTTTAGTCCTGATGTAAAAGAGAGTCCTACATCTTTGCTTTTTACTATTTACATTTCTTTCAGCCTGTTTCTGTTGTCTTTTACAGCATTTTATTTATCATTTAATATAATGTTTTCTACAGATCTTAAAACCAAAACAATATTTAATAGTCCATTAAAAAATGCTAAATATCTTGTGTTTAACACTTTTCCACCAGTTGGGTCTGAATAGGTTTTTCCCAATCTGTCAATTGGATTTTTTAAAGGGGTAAGTTGTTTTGCCTTTTCCATTGTGACGTCTGCACCTATTGATGAATACATGAACTTATAGTTTTGCGCAGTAATGTGCCGATTGATTGAAAAGTGTTAACACCTTCGGGACCGGCCCCACACCAGCTGATCCTATTCCCATGACCGCAGCCGCCGCCCACATCCCTTGTAAATACATGTACTCGTTTGCAAGATATTTTTTCACTTCTAATCAACTAAAAATGGCTTCAGCTTCATTGAATTCGAAAAGGAAAGAACTCTTCTGTGCTTGATAAAGCAGTCGGAAAACATGGATAATTCAATAACAAAAAAACACCAAAAAAGACCCCACACAAAACAGTTTTTTTTAAAAAGTCACCTGGGCCGGGCGGCGTCCTTACTCCAGGTACAAGAGTGGTTGTGTCCCCTGGCCCAGGCACGGGTGTGGGCACGGCAAACAGAGTGGTGGGGGGGCTCTGGGTGGTGGGCGGCGGCGCACACTTCGGTACCTCACAGCAGATGTCTACCGGGTCCACCACCAGCTGGCAGGTGGCAGGAATGTTCTGGAACTCAAAGCATCTGCACGAGAGAGAAAAAAAAACACCCATCAGGGATTCATGTAAATCTTGGTGTCAACATTTTTGCTGCTATGTAGACAAAGAAAGAGAAAGAGAGGAACGCAGAGAATGAGATAGGAGGACAACATCACAGAGTGGACAGGAAGGACGATGGGTGACAATCTGAGGATAGCAGAGGACAAAGATAAATGGCGAGAGCTGGTTTTCAGATGCAGTGGTGCCCTCACGGTTGCCCCAACCACAGGTAGAAGAAGAAGAAGAAGACGAAGAAGACGAAGAAGAAGAAGAGGTATACATATTAATTTGCTAGTTATATCTGAAATTGGTTCACAGCCATTTGTTTCTATGAGCCATTTTGAGATGTAATTATAACTTTCACTGTTGTTTACTCTTAGATATAAGGATAAAGAATTTTTGGCTTTGATTTAAGCTCTCTTAAATTAACATTCAATCATAACTGTAAAAAATAAAGATGCAAAAGTCTCAGCAATGATAAGGTGTTAATTTAGCATACTGATTTTCATTGATCTTCATATTACAGGTACTGCAATAAAATTTTATCATCAATCGTTTACTCTTTGTACTTTTCTATGTACTCAGTACTCTCATTGCACACCTATGGATAAAAGTGGTGAAAATCTACCAGTTGCCCCAAGGGAGCTGAGGGAGCTCAGGTTCAAAAGGTTAACTATGACAGCTTGTGATTGAGTTCAACAGCTGCAAAGGGAAACAGAATTCAATTTTGAAAACAGTAGATGATGGGCATACAAAACATTGCATCATATCTCAGTAAAAACTTTACAAATCATTTATCGATCACTCTTTTTCATCACCAGTAAGATTTTGCTGCTTACGTCACTATGATAAGAGGCAAAATATATAAACTTAATGAAGTAATATCAAAAGCCTTGAAAATCTCAAGTTTTTAACAAACACTTTTTTCTAATTGTCTAACCACAATCCTGTGTGTTTGTTTATTTATGTGTGTGTGTGTGTGTGTGTGTGTGTGTGTGTGTGTGTGTGTGTGTGTGTGTGTGTGTGTGTGTGTGTGTGTGTGTGTGTGCGTGCGTGTGTGTGTGTGGGAAAGGCACATTACACGAATTTCCCACTTGGCTCGGTCCTTTTGGAGACGGATATTAAACTAGGAAGCCCCACCTCTTAAATTACCTAATAGTGTTGATAGGGGTGTTAAACCCATACCATTTCAATATTTAAAATTTTGTATCTGCATTCTCTACATTTATGACTAATCATACCTTTCAGTACACTGATAGACCCCAGTGTTCTCATCCAAGCACTTGCACTTGTATTGGCAGCCATCATCCCATGTGTTTCCCGTTCTGTACAGAACTCCCCCGTACAGACAGCCAGCTGATCATGGAGAAAAAGTGTTGCAGTGTAATGGAATCAGGTGCTCATCAATTTTCGGGCATAACAAGTTATTGGTAGAATCTTAATGTCTGTTCATTTGCCTTGCTTTTGATGAAAAAAATACCCATCTATCTGACCATAGAGAAAAAGTGTTGCAGCGTAATGGAATCAGGTGAACATCAGTTTTTGGGCATTACAAGTTATTGGTGATATCTTAGTGTCTGTTCATTTGCCTTGCTTTTGATGAAAAAAATACCCATCTATCTTGAATAGAAGTCGAGATATTTGTGATTGAAGGAGGTGGGGGTTGCCTGATACCAGAGATTAAATTAGCGAGAAAATCACTGCCAAAGTTTGATGACGTACAAATCTGTGGTGTCCTTGGAAACTATAATCTTACATTTTTGTGCTTTTGGTCAACATTTTTCAGTAATATTGACAAAGGAAAAGAGATGTTGAGCCCAAAAACAATCCAAAAACCATAAAATATCTTTCTGACATTCTGGTAATAAAGACCTGGTAAATAAGTATTGTGCAATTACTTCTAATGTTGTTACTTTGAACTTATTTAACCAATATTTTGCCCTTCATTTGCACACCCATAGTGCGCACTAGTGCAGTAAAGTTTTATAGAGACCACAGAGCAGCAGACATAACAATACCTGGTCTAGGATATCATAACTGAAGTCTATACATAGGCCTTACACATAGCATGTGATGGCACGTGTTGTGTTTCATAATATCTCAAGCACTGAGCTCTCTCATTTCCCTAGCCTAGTGCAGGGCACAGAAGGCCTACAGTGTGCAGTGCAATGTGCTGATCAGCTCTTTCGTCACTTCTACATCAAGTAGAATTGGTCGCTTTTAAGGACATACCGGCTAACCCAGATATCAGTCGTTTCCAGAAATCTTGATCTACCCCAAAAGTGGGCATTGCCCTACCTATAGGAGAAGTTTGGGTTCGTTGGTGTGTATATTTGTTTGGTTATAGAGAAAACTGTCCTTTTCTTTTAAAGAAACTGAATAAGGGTCCAGAAACTTTACCTTCGGTTTTCTCAAAACAGCATTTTTAGGGAAAGCTCCCTTGTGCTTAAAAGCGACCAATTATTTGGCAGATTTAGCAAACTGGCAATGTCAAAGGGAAAGCACAAAGTGTAAAGCCTGCGGCTTAATTTGCAGTAACTGAAAGAGAAAGATGAGAAAAAAACTTTCACAAAGTGAAATTTGTCTTAAGCATGGCATTCCCAACTCAATGCTGTTGACAATCATCCTTATTTGAGCAATGTCTCTAAACTGAAAACACACCTAAAACAAATAAAAAACGGAGGTCCCAAAGATTTCAGTTCAAGCAGGCTGCTCTGCACATCATATAAAAAAATCCTTGAATAAAATTTATTAGAATAAAATAAAGCAATCCTCACTTGTGCTAGTGTTCACATTCTGACCAGTGATTTTCCCAGGTACTTTGGCAGGTATGGGAACAGGTAGTGGGTAGGTCATAGGGGAGGGAGTTGGGAGCTGGTCGGGTTGACAGAGTACAGATTGGCAGCAAGCGTCGTAGGCGTCAACCTCAATCTGGCAGCCAGTGGGCACAGGACTCAGAGTGGAGCATCTGACAATCAGAAAAACAACAATTTTATGATTTTTATGGCTTTCCATACTCTAATAGTTCATTAGCGCAAAAACTTCACAAAGATTAAAACAAAGAAGAGGACCAAGACAAAAATATGGATTAAGAAAAATTCTAAAATAAATGAAGACAGATCCCACAATTTTTGATTATCTCAGATCAGATTAAATAAATCCTTGCTCATATGACTTTATACAGTTGCGAGCTCCATAAAACACTTACCAGAAAAAAGATATAATATTATTAAAGAATCAGCTTAGAAAAATATAAAGTTTCAGTGTAACTAGCATCAGTAATAAATGGATACTCCACTGTCACTACGGTTCCCACCTTTCTTCACAGCGGTAGTTCCCCGTGAGAGCGTCCTCACACACACATCGGAAGTCACAGCCGTCAAACCAGTGAGAGCCCTGACTGTAAGCTACTCCATTGTACACACAGGAAGCTGGTGCAAGAAAGGGAAATTGAGATGAGGTTTGTGGGAAAAAGCTCGTGGGGCGAGCGGACAGCGGGAGATCTTCAGAGGAAGAACCCTCCTCATGCAAATTTTTTGCCTTTAACTTCCTGACACTCTATGGGGCCGGGCCACACTCAGGTCATGACTCTTAAGTGCTCTCCTGCTGTTTCTGTTTGTTTGTTTTCTGTTTTCTTGGTGCTTATTGGGGGATGAACCCTCGAGGTTTTGGGGTATTTCTTTTTAAACAAGAGAGTAATTTATTCTGCTTTTTAAAATTCAAGCTAATCACTACCTTAGAATTACAAAGTTCTATCTGCTCAGTACTTGTTTTGAGAAATTTGACGTAAAAGATTTTGAGCTTCACAACATGTCAAGCTTTTTCCAATGCAGTTCTTTGATATACCTTAATGACGACTCGGAATAATCCTACCATTTTGATAGAGCAAATAGAGCATTTGATTTCTGATCTCATGATCTCAGTAACTCTTTTTACTTTTTTACTTTTCCGATCCAGCGGCCACTTGGGTTCTAGCCCTTTGGTCTGTCGATATGGCAAAGAATTTGCAGGTTTTAATCAGCTGTGCTTTGTCGCTGTATAGAGTAACTCAAAATGGCCAAAAATATCAGACAGAACTTCGTAATTTTGGAAGACACTTGAAATATATAATATAGTGTGATATATTCAGTAACATCTTTACTTTTTCTTTTACGTTTGTGTAAAACGTCTAACTTTATCTAATTAACGTTTAACATAGAGCAAAAAAAATTATTTGATTCATTTTTTAAAAACCTGTCAAGTTTTAAGATTCAGAAAAAAACAACAACCAAAAAACATCAAAACACCCAAACAAAATAAATCTGTTTGAATTTTTCTGAATAGCTTACGTTTGTTTATCCCGGGGACTAGCGTGTTTTGTGGCGCCAGTGTGGGTGGAGTGGGCAGTGTGAGGTCGCAGTACGGCTGTTTGCAGCACGGGTCTCTTGGGTTGGTCACGTACGAGCACTGAGGTGGCAGAAGGCCATAGTTTGGACATCTGGGGAGAAAAAAAGCTGGTTAACACTTTGAAGTCACTTAGCGATATAATGTGACGATGAAAATTATCCGTTCCGGTCACCTGGCGCAGTTCTGCACCAGGCCCGAGAAGTCCGTTACCGTCGCTCTCCTGGCTGGGTGACCAGATGGGGTATTTTGTACTGCTGGCTGTGTGACTGCAAAGTTTTAAAATACAACCTTCCATTTTGAACTGCTTGATCTAGTGAGTAACATCTGAGGTAGCTGGGGGGGGGGGGGGGAGGGGGTTACAGTGGGATTTGCAGTTATGTCTCACAGGAACAGGAAATATTGGACTGTGATCATCGTGATGCACACATACAAAAAGGGGGGGGGGGGAGGGGGAAGGGGGGAGGATGTTATTATACTTTATTCTTCCCCAAAAGATAATGGTTTTTGTGGTAGGTTTGTAAAATAAAAGTCAGCACAATAGCAGCCATTTTATAGTGCTTTTGTGTATGAGTGTATGTGTGTGGCCAAGGGGGGAGGGGATATCAAGATAACAAACGGAAATATCAGAATATTATAAAAGCTGTAGGGCTCTGGTAATACTGGGGAAAGGGGAGACTAAGATAGGAAATACTACAGATACACATTATATTCTCTCAGTAAAAGCAAAAAGACAGCATCAAGGTTCAAACAGGTCCAACTTATCCCAAACTCACGAGAGGAACTCCTACAGGAGACACTTTTTTGCTTCTTCATTTCTCTCCATCTTTTCTGACTCATTTCAAGTCACTCAAACAGAATTACCCATAACTGTTTAAAAATAATGTCTTCGGTCAGCTGATCAAATGGTTGCTTTTAAGCAGAAGGGGGCTATCCCGAAAAATGCTGTTTTGAGAAAATCGAAGGTAAAGTTTTTGCCCCATATTCAGTTTCTTTATAAGACATGGTGAGTTTTTTCTATAACCAAACAAATAGACACACCAATGAAAACAAAGTTCTCATACACATAAGGCAATGCCCACTTTTGGTGTGGGTCAAGATTTCTGGAAACTCCCGAAATCTGCGTTAGCCCGCTTGTCCTCAAAAGCGACCAATTTATACCACGAGCACCAGTACAGAAAAAAATAACAAACAAGTGATCATCCTTACCTTTCAGTACAGGTGTACATTCCCGTTTTTCCGTCATCGCACACACAGTCATACTTGCAGCCATCTGCCCACCGTTGCCCTTTTCGATAGCTGACACCATTGTAAATGCAAGCATCTAGGAAGACATATTAAACAATATAATAGGAAAACTACTAGTGATGTGTTGATGTAACAATTTATTTTATAAGAAGACATGATTATCTTTGAAAACCTTTGGCAAACATTAATTGTTATGTATTCATATGACCTTAGAGCAAGCATCAGAATAACATTGAGTATGTTTCTAGCTTAAGATTATTATTGCTGATATTGATGCTCATTTATATTATGCATGTGATTGTAAGCCTGTGTGTGTGTGCATGTTTGTGTGTGTGTGTGTGTGTGTGTGTGTGTGTGTGTGTGTGTGTGTGTGTGTGTGTGTGTACACGTGGTGAAACACCAAACCAATGTGCCAGGATCTGGATAATAAAGATGTATCTTATCTTATCTTATTTTATTTTATCTTATGTCTTTGAATCTAATTGATTTCCATCACAACACAAGTTGAGAATACCTAAAAAGCAAGCAAAGCCAAAACAAACAAACAAACAAGAGGTCATCTTTTAAAAGAAGACCAAGTTCACAATGGTTAATGAGACATGATATTACGCATCAAAAGAATACAAGAAAAAGAGTTAGTCACTATTAGCATAAAACTAAGACATGCTAAAAGAGTGATCTAGTAAATATTGTTCATATTAACAACCCTTCTTAGCACACATAGAGAAGGATTACGGAAGAAATAATGTTATTACAGAGCTCAAAAGTAATTATAACCGGAGTTGAGTTAAAAATTTCAAAGGAAAGAACTGTTAGGAAAAAAGTAATAGCTTACTTAGGGTCGGCACAGATCCTGGCAGAGGAGCTGGTGTGACCTGTCTTCCTGTCACCACGCCAGGCACCAGGGTAGGCAGCAGGTTGCCCTTCTTCTGGGGGCTCTGAGGGTCAAGGTCACACTTCGTAACTTCACAGCACAACGGGTCGCTGGGGTCGGGAACCATGCTGCAGTTCTGAGGGGGAGGCGGTTGTGCTACACACCTGGTGCAAAGAAAGACGCAACGTCAGTTTTTACAGGATTTTTAACCCTTTCAGTCCGAGGAGTGCTCAATAATACTATGAAAGAGGCCAAGAGTGTCTCATGTCAGGGCAGCAAAGAGGTTAAGACAGAAAAGCAATTCGCTGAAAAAAATATTTGTAGCATGTATTATGACCAAGCAATTTTTATATGACAGTTTTACAAGCACATTCGCTTAGTTGACATTAGAAGTAAGAAAAGGATATTATTGTAATTTTTTGGTGGTTTTTTTCAAAAGCAGTCTTCTCTCCAGAGATCACTACTCAATTCTTAATATTCATCAAGCTCTACAACATTTTGAAATCCCGAGACAGAAGGAGCCAACAACAGGACAACATTTTGTTTTAAGAGTACAAAAAACATAATGAAGTCTTGACACGTACATCATTAAACAGTCTAAAGAATATATTATTTTACATTCATGTCAAAAAGAAGATACTTTCAGCTGTAACTAGTCAGTTTCTTAGCAACCTAAAGATCTTTATTTAAAGTGGGAATGAACATTCTATAGGCCTGCCCTGAGCATGTTACGAAAAACCTACACTCCCATTATACCAAAAACAGAAATAACTGTAAGAGTTGTGATGATCTTTCTCAAGGTGTGTCTCTGATCACTTGTTGCCGCATCTGTCACGGTGTTTGTGAATGTTGCTCAGTGTGTCGTACAGCTGTGCTGTGTCCAAAGTCCATTCATCATCTTCATCAGTGCCTTTCACCCCTGGCAGGGTATAGGCCACATACAAGCTTCTTCCATATGTCTCTGTCCTGGGCCATCCTTCCTAGCTCATTCCAAGTGAGCTTCATCTCTCTCATGTCCCTTTCCACACATCTCCTCCCTGTACTTGGATGATGGAGGAGGCTTCTGCCCAGCAGCTTTCTTTCGGCTTTCATTGCCTCGCATCATAAACTCTCCATTCGGAGAAAATCCATGACCAGCCAAGCAGAGATAATGGTTTTTGCTTGTATGTGTTTCTGTTACAAGTTCTTTTTACGAGAGAGGTTGTTAGCCTCGTGACTCAACCCCCGACCTGGAGGGAGGATGACTCTGTTTCGGGAGTCACTACCTGGTTCGCCATAATTTAGTTGCTTCCTATGACACGCTAGCACCAGGTCAGTCCTATTCTTTTCAATGCCGGGACTGCACGGCTAAGAGTCCATTCACTTGTGTAACATTGTCAGTCACTGTCTGCCACTCAAACAAGGAGGATGTTTTCCATAAAAATTTATTAAAGCCAAGCTTTGAAGTATGGTTCTTTTGTCTTGTAGGCGACATTTTAACTCTTTGTCCAGGTAGCGGACACATACGTCTGATCAGCAGCAGAGCATAGACAAACATTGCTGCATTATTTCAAACTATTTTTCACACATCAGAAACATGAGTTTGAAGTTTTGATAGCAAGCATACTGTTATATAACACACAGGCAGGTAACACTCACTTGAAATACTAATACCGTACTTGGTGTGGTAACCATATCTAGGACTCTACACATATCATTGCCTGCCTTTTTAAGTTTCAGATAAAAGAAAAAAAACTGAAATATTTGTATGAATATGGAAGTTATGCCTCGTCTTTTAAGTAACCCAAAACAGCGCGTCTTCAAACATGCAGAATGCGTGTCTTCAATGAGTTAATCAACTTCTCTGACTTAAAATTCTGACCTGTCAGAGCATCTGTATATACCCAGTGTAGCGTCCTCACAAGTACACTTGTACTGACAGCCGTCGTACCAGCTCTGTCCCTGAGCATAGGCTTGACCATTGTAAACACAAACATCTGGAGAAACAACGGACAGACATCCACATTTGTGGTAAAGAGTGGAACAAACGTAATGAAAATCACGTAAAATATGTATTATATCAATGTGGCAGAGCCTAGACTTTCTTTCAAAAACAGAATGTCTATATTCTTCATTGATATGTGAAAGGCAATTTATTTTCTTATTGAATAACACACATTGGGGGTTAAAGTTGTGAGCATGAACACCACTACAAGAAGTAGGTATATTTTGAAACAAAAAAGGTTTTTAATTTAAGTAATAGCAGAAATGTTTTGCCTTTTTCATATTATCTCATGCCTTCCAACATGAAGTTCCAGGTAAATCAAGGGAGAGAAGGACAGAAATACATTGCCAGCAGGCTGCATGATTTCATTGCTTCTAGAAGATCTTTCATACGCCTTTTGGAGAAGATCTTTAATCTCATTATTGATTCATATTTGTGAAGCGTGCTGACAAAATGAGTTACTTCTCGGATTAAAACCTGAAGGAAATAGATACATCACGCCTAATTCATTTCTTCTTAAGTAGATTCTAGTACCAAATTCAAAAACTACTCACAAAAGCTGCGCTTTAGATCTAATTGTAGTAAAACAGCAGTGTGTGAACCTGTCTACACAGGGTAGGTCTACAAGAAACATGTGTGTGGAGTTTTCAAGCTTGAGTTTTCAGCGGGGGAAAAGTGTTGTCAGCTACATTCGGCACGGCAGGCTGGAGGTTTTTGTATGGTGTGTGATTTTGGACAAAACAGCTAAATGAGTGATTTTTAATTAGCTCTCACGCCTAATTAGATACCACCAGTGAATGGATCCCCCTCTCAAACAACTATTTTATGCACGTACAATTGAATGTGCATAGCCAAATGTTTCTTTCACGCCACGCAGTTAAAACGGATTAACGAAAGGGACTATTATAGGTGAAGTTATTACTGTTTATAAGTATGAAATAATAAAAGACAGGTCATAGTTAAAGAAAATGGCATCAATAGAAAATCTACAAAACTGACTCTTATGTTGATTTTTGGCCAATATCTCTGTTTGTGGATTGCGAGAAATAACTCATTTTGTCAGCACACCTCACATTTGAAGGTTACAGGGGAAAAATGACTGTAGTCGTAAACTGAAAATTGTGAGGGTACCAATTTGGAATACTGGTTGACTCATAACTGTATTTCTGTTCAACTGTTGCTTGATTATTGTTGTTAGATTTCCCATTCAACAACATTCAACAATAAACCACCAGTTAAACAAATATAAAGTTATGAGTCCACAAGCTTTTAAAATTGGCACCCTCACAATTTCCAGTTTGTGACTACAGTCGTTTTTCCCTGTACTCTTCATTTATGAAGACAAGCTTTGCAATAGATGGTGTCAACATCTTGAATATTATAATTCACTATTTTTCCAGCTTTTTTAATGAGGATATTTCCGTAGAAGATGAACAAAAGTGTTTTACCAGCAGGTTGTGGTTTCAGAGTAGTTATTTTCCCTGGAGCAAGAGTGGACATAGGGTTTGACGTAGGAGTGCTGTAATCCGGGTCACAGACCGGCACTTGACAACAAGGATTTGCAGCATCTTTCACCATCTTGCAAGACGGAGGCAGGGCACCATAGGTAGGGCATCTGTAATAAATATTTTAAAATCAGCGTGGATTTTAGATTTGCATTATAGGCATAAAAAGAGTTCAAATATAATTCCATTAGTTGAAGAAACAAATGAATTTTAAGTGAAAACAAGACTGAAGTTATTCTTCTCGGTTAAATTCTATATATAGAGACCCCAAAGACTTGAGTTTCTCCCTGATAATATTATGGGTACAGAAAGTATTCAGTTGGTGTACACATGTGTGTGCATGGGTGTATATGTGAATATGTTTTGTGTGTGTGATTGTATGTGTGTGTGTGTGTGTGTGTGTGTGTGTGTGTGTGTGTGTGTGTGTGTGTGTGTGTGTGTCTGTGTGTGTGTTTACTTATGTAAGTGATTTTGCATTCATGACAAAGAGAATAAGAGCATTGTGAAATAGGTAGGCTTATGGTCTGTATTTACCTTTGGACAGACACTAACTACTTTGCGCATATAAACACATAAGTATTCCTTTTTATTAAAATTAAGTTTTGCTCAATTGCTATACAATTTATATCTCAGTTCCCATCTCTTACAGGGTTAGGAAATGATGTAAGGAAATTATAATATCGTCATCCAAATATGGTTGTGTGCTGGCCCAATGCTTTGCAGTACTCACTTGTAAAATGTGAGCACCTCACAAAATGACAAGTTTGCTAGCTATGCTCCACTCACCTCTCTGTGCAAGTGTAGAAACCCTTTGTTGCATCCTCACATTTGCAGGCATATTCACAGCCATCAAACCATTCCTCATCCTGGCTATACTGCTGACGCTTGTAACTACAGAAACCTGAATAATAATAAATAAATAGGATTTGTATAACACATATCCCCCATGGAAAGCAAGCTCTATGCGCTTTACACTATATTATTACCCCAGCAGACCATAGAACACCCAGAAACATTCTCAGCTTCCCGGGAAGCATGCAGTGCAAGTAGCTGGTTAAGCGCTCAAACACTAACAAGCTGACAAGATCTTTCACTGTCTATAGCTGGGGACCCATTTTCACCTGGGTGAAGTGTGGACAATTCATGTAAAGTGTCTTTCCCAAGGACACAACATCGGGCCCACAGCTTGAACCCCTGAACCCGCAACCTCACGATTACGAGTCCTGTAGACCACCGACGCCGGAATACCAAATACATTGTGGGGAAAAGCCTGTGAATATTTTAATAATATCTAATAGAAAGCTCAATAAATATAATATTTTTCATAACACACTTCAACCTGAATTAAACTCTGCTGGAGACATGCACTTACTTTTAGGCCTAGATGAGGTCGCTTTAGAGACAAAGTCTCTGATAGAATAGAATTGTTCAAAATCAGGACACCAATAAGACACACAGGGCCCTGAGACAGGAAACGTGGCCAACCCCACTGACACTACAAGAGAAGCTATATGGGCCGACAGATGAACTGAGCAGGACGACTCAATTTATGACAGAGACCAGACTTTAAGTGCGATGCGATCGAGAAGAAGAAAGAAGGACATCAATGGTTATAGAGTGTCATTAGTGTACATTGGAGCTGGTTCCTGGTTCTGACTGTACCAATTACACAGAAAGCCACCTGTGATCTCAAAGTCCAACTGGCATGTAGATAGCCTTAGGTGCATAACATTTTACAGTCACTGCGCATCGCTGGTGAAAATTATCCGTTCCGGTCACCTGGTGCAGTTTTACGCCAGGCCCCAGAAGTCCTTTGCAGTCGCTCTCCTGGCTGGGCGACTAGACGTGGTATTTTGTACTGCTGGCTGTGTGATTGCGAAGTGTTAACCTAGTTGTTTATAAAAAAAAGGCAAGTGGAAAATACAAAGAAAAACTCCTGTAGCTTATTTATTAAAAAGGGAACCGGTATTGCATTGAAATCTTAACACTTAACATGACATCACAATAGAATTCTTTAACACTTACGCAGATTCGGAACTTGTCCTGCAACAGGTACAGATGCTGTGCCTGTGACCATGCCTGGCACAAGAGTCTGTGGCAACACGGTGCCCGGCACCATAGTGGCGGGGGAACACACTGGCTTCATGCAGCACGCGTCTTGTGGGTCTGTCAACAGCTGACACCCAGGGGGTAGAGCACCGGCATTGTAGGAGGGACATCTGTCATAATAGAGACATTGTTTTTATTTTCTAAATGTAGGCGCTTTTTTCCACCCCCATCAACACAATTTGTGTCATGACACGGTAGAATCAGGCGCTCATCAATTTTGGTGATGAGGAGTTATTGATATCATCTAAAAGCTTGTTCATTTGCCTTACTTTCAACGGAAAAAATCCCCCCCCCATTTATCTTGAATAGAAGTCGAGATATTTGCGATTGAAGATAGTGGGGTAACCTGACTTCAGTGGTACAATTATCAAGAAAATGGCTGGCAAATTTCGGTAACTTCAGTGGCTTGAGAGTCCTTGAAAACTGAAAAATTATATATTTTGTCCCCTTAATCAAAGTTTTTCAGTCAAATTCACTCGGAAATATGTTTTATATGGCCATAAAAGGTGTTGAGCCAAAAAACAACAATTTGATAAAAATTGACAAACTGGCAGAAAAATGCCCCTTTCTTTGGTTTTGTTATTTTGACGAGCACCTGATTTCACCACAATGCCTCACATTTAAATCTTTTAGGAGGCGGGCTTCTGACCCTGTTTGTCAGGGCTGACCCAGGTTGAGAGGGATACAACATCTCAGCTGAAAGACGGACTGAGATACTTGATAAAATTTTCTCCCCTCTCAGGAATTGAACTTGGGTCTTCTGCATTCAACAGCAAAGTATGTAACTGCTACACCACTGATGCCGGTGAAGATATTTTGAATATATAATACATATTTATGTTATATACATATATATATACTGTATATTATCTACAATATACTGTATTGCATATATATTGAAAATGTTTGATGCTGTTATTAACACAATTTGATATAGCGAGTGTGAAAGCAAATATGCCTACAACAAATATACACCACAATGTTTACCACCATAAAATATGCATGGGGAGGACAGTGTTCTGATCCCAGAGAGCCAATATTTTTTCATCAAGACCCACAGTGTGCATAAAAAGTTCTCCAAAAGTTTTTAAAATTGCTATTAAGTTGTTTCTTTTTCAATTTGAACAGAGATTTATTTTGAATCGACATGCAAAGACATGTTGTTTTCTCTTCCATGATATCTTTTATAAGCACAACATGTACATGCAAATACATAAAGGAAATCTTTACTTTTTCCCATTCCTTTTCCAGAAATCTAGAGGTTTTTGAGTCCTACCAATCCTTGAATTTTGGACATGAAAAGACCTGCATAAATCACTTATCACAAACAAAGAATACAACCAGATGTTATGGCATTACAGTTGAGTTGGGGTGGGTGGGTGGAAGGGGGGGGGGGGGGGGGGCGCTGCCTTTAGGCTGTTGAGCCATTCCCTTTGCTCCCTCCCCCCCTCCAAACCAAATAACTTTAAAGAGACTGAGTAACTCAATTGACTCGCCTGTCTGTGCATGTGTATAAGCCAGTTGAGGCATCTTCACACTGACACTTGAACTTGCAGCCATCCATCCACATTTGACCTTCATAGTACTTAGCACCGTAATACTTGCAAGAGGCTAAAAAACAGACACACATAACATAAATGTGAATATTTGAGAAGTTTTCTTTGAACATCTTTTTAAAGACATTCATATTACTGCAACAATACTTAATACTAGTACAATACATCATCTAAAACTCAAGTGAAATAGCTTCTCACAACATCACACTATTTTGCAAAAAATCATTCCATCTTCTCTAACATCATCAATATATCTTGACTCAATTTTGAGCATAATAGCACAATATGAACTGGTGAGCATCTAAGCATGTTTAAAAAATATCATTAAGATGTGAGAAGAAATGTCTTGCAACATCTCAGTTGCCAGCCTTAGATTGTACAATAATTTGCTCTTTCAAATGTCTTTCCTTTTCCTGGCCCTTTTCTGTCCTGCATATTATGCTTTTCTGCATCAGCTACGTTTATTCCCAGTGTTATACTGTTTCCTGTAAGTGTAAGTCATATTTTTATACCACCACAAGGCATATGGAATGTTATGAAGAGACTCTTTGCCATAACACACAAAAGACATGAGTTCAATTTCTGTGTGAAAAAGTCATAAAGCATCTCCTTCTTTCTGCTAGGATGTTGTATGCCCCTAACCCTGGTTGGCCTTGATAAGCAAGACAGATGCAGCCCATCTCCTGAATGATTTATATTGTGTCAATGTGAAAGTAAAGTAAAGTAAAGTTGTTCCTGCATCCGGTCTGGACATGGGGATTGCCTTGTTTGTGAGACAACTTCCTGGGCCTTCGGCTTATTGTGGTAGGGTGGCCAGTTCCTTTCCATGCCACCTTTACTTCCCCAACTCGAAGTCAGGGTCAGGTACCCATTACTGCAAGGCCCGAACCCGGACTTTCTGCTTTGGAGACGACCACACTAACCCCTCCGCCACCGCACCCACACAATAAAAGTAAATCATTCATATAAATAACCCAAAGGTCTTCCCTCTTGAATTACAAACAGCCTACACTTCTCTTCAGAAGGCTCTTTCCTATTCTTGTAAGATATTTTACACGTTTACAAAACATTTTTCCCTATGTTTCAAAAAGCCAAATCTTCTTTTTGTGCACTTTTACCCATATACACGAGCATCAGCTACAAACTTGGCCATCTTCTATCACATTTCCACCAGCCCTCACAATTTCTTTAGGAGAGACATAGGGGTCTCCTGTGATATCATTACCTACAATACGAAACTAAACTAAGAGTAACTAACAGTTCTCATACTACGCATGCGCATAACTTGTATCGCCCTACTTCTGCTTCCTGAATAAACTAGGCTACCCGCTCAACGTACATGAATCGTCTCATACTGGTCTCAATCTGTATTGTATCATTGTATTTCTCTTCTCCCAGTTCATGGTAGGTAAAAGTGTGGTGTAAGCGCACCTTTAGACTTGTAAAATGATTGCACCTTTAGAATAGGACATGTAGAGAGAACGCACCTTTACAATACTTATTGTGATGTAGGCCTAACGGACATATCATGGGATCGACTGGCACCTCACGTGACTTTGGGCAAGCCTCGGGTAAACTAAGGAGCACTCACTCATGGGAGCCAAAACAAGTCACATCGGCTAACCAAGAACTAGCAGAAGACCAGTAGGTGGGGCCCCACCAACATCAACTACATCTAGATCTACTACCGCAAGACTAAAGACTCAACAAGTAAGTCATCATAAAAAGACAACAAAAACGTTCCACTCACGAATAGGCAGTGGCGTGAGCCCTGGTAGGGGTGCTAGAGTTGTCCTAGGATAGGGTAGACACTGCATCATCATGCAGCACGGGTTGGCAAAGTCTTGGACCAAGTAGCAATCGGGGGGTACTTCCGTGATCTTGGGGCATCTATGGGTATAAATAATCAACGTGTGTGTAAATCCTGGACAGAATGACGAAAACCTAAAAAAACCCAATCCTTCAGAAAAATGCAAAATAATAAAAATCCATATGTACGTATGTTTGCCATTGTAAACCAAATTGCCCTTCTGGGATCAATAAAAGTGTAATTTATTTTTCAGTTTTTATAATAATAATAATAATAATAATAATAATAATATTGATAATGATAATATTAATAATAATAATAATAATAATAATAATGATGATGATAAAAATAATAGGCCTATAATTATTATTTTTATCATAGGGGCCTATTAATAATAGCATTTGCATCACACATATTCTCATTCGACTGCAAACTTTGCACTATTCTAACTACACTTTATTGCAAATATAGTGAGCATACCCCAACGTAAGCTCTGTGTGTTTTACAATTTAAAATGCTTGAGTTTCTTAAATTTAATTTTCATAAACAAGATGTATTTCTGCGTGATCTGATCTTATTGGAAAGAAAGCAGAAATGCAAACAGATGAAATGATCTTTATGGTCAATCTGCCATAATCTCAAAGAAAGTCCACTGTATTTCTCTTATGTTACTTTCTGATAGCACATGCCTCTGTCCTGCTGATCACACAAGATTTTCTAAAACTATAGTTTTTCCTCATTTTCCAGTCCCAATTTTCTTTTACTTGAGCATTTATCACAAATCAGATATACTATTTCAGTCTTTTCTATTATGCTAAATTAACTCCTTACTTGTCTGTGCACTGTATGAAGCCATTTGAGGAATCCACACACTCACACTGAAGTTGACAACCATCTTCCCAAACATCTCCATCAGAATACTCAACCCCTTTATAGACACATTTGTCTGCAGATAAACAAGCATCACATAATATAGTTCACACGAAAGCAATCTATTTTTATACAACCACCCAGTATGTCGAACATGGCTTTTGGATCTAAGAAAAAACAGTTCTAAACAGTACATTGCATCTTTGTTTAACACTTTGCCATCATATTTTTGGGAGAATCCAAAGAAACTGGGTGGTCAACATCGCCAATCAGCGAGATGAGGCAGCAAAGTGTTGAGAAAGCAAACTTTTATAAAACTCCCATATAAACAATCAGTACATTTAGAAAAGAAATGATTACAGGCGATGTAAATATAAACACAAAAGTACCAACAACAAATGGTATATTGTATGCCACTGTAAACCAAAATTCACCACCAATATCAGTAAACGTGGAATTCTGTTTCATTTTAATTTTACTTATAATTTAAAACTAGGATGCTTTTCTAGCCCAAAAAAACCCATAGGAACACCAAAAAAAAAAAGAGGGCAGAATTAACTCTTTAAACACTGAGTTTTTTCCACCGTTTCCCTGAGTTTTTGCTACAACCACCTAAACTTGACGCACTATGTCTCAATATAACCCCAAAATCTTGCCTCCAACATCTAAAAGGTGGAAACAAATGCTAAGTCATTACTAAAAAATTGGTTTGGGAATACTTCCGAAAAACAAGTAAAAACTAGCACTAAATGAAATGAAACAGTTGTCACTAGTAACGGATGCTGGGAGTGTCCGATGGGGAACAAGCGGTTATTACTGCCGGACAGATGGGGAACAGGGTTTATTACTGCCGGGTGCTCTCAGTGTCCGATGGGGAACAGGGTTTATTACTGCCGGGCGCTCCCAGTGTCAGATGGGGTTCAAAGAGTTAAAACTAGGATGCTTTTCTAAACAAAAAACCCCCCATAAGAACACAAACAAAAAGACCGTTAAAGATCCCTTGGTGGTCTAAAATCGATAAGAGTAGGCTTCGGCCGCCATCGGGGCAAAAATTCAAAATTTCCTACTAACTGAAAAAGGTTTAATGTGTCCCGTGTGCTCAAATGACATTAAGCAGTTGCGCGCACCGTAAAACACTTACCCCCCCAAAAAAAAAAAAAAAGAGAAGGGCAGATTTAACCATCAGTTACAGACCTCTGTTCTGGTTTGTGCCAGTGCCAGTGTAAGTGCCAGGGGGGAGAGCAACGCCGGTGCACTCAGGTGCGCTACAGCACTGAGGGTCCTCAGGGTCAGCCACCTGACCACAGGAACTGAAGTTCCCAGCATATGACGGGCACCTACGGACATGGGCAAACAAAAACAAAAATAATAATAATAACAATAATAATAATAATAGTAATAACAACAACAACAACAATAATAATAATAATAATAATAATAATAACCATAATAATAATAGTAGTAATATAATAATAATAATAATAATAATAATAACAATATTAATAATATTAATAATAATAATAATAATAATAATAAATAGTCATCACCATCATCATCATCATCATCATCATCATCATCATAACCATAATCATAATCATAACCATAATCATGATCATAATAAAAGCACTAATAATAATGCATGTAGATTGTATTACCCCCCAAGGCGGTGCTACTGACTGAAGTGTCTTTACACTATTCCCAAAGGAGTGGGGGGGGGGGGGGGGCTTAACATCTTGAGTTCTTATGCAAAGTAGAATTGTTATTGTAAATATGGGCGGTTTTCATCAATGTCATGCTCATAACTATTCCTGAACTGCAACAAAGAACTGCTGCTAATCCTTACTTTTGCCTTTTTCCTAGTCTACTTCTTTTGTATGTTTGTCACACTCTTGTGACCTGCTATTTCCAGGGTACCTTGATAGTCAAAGCAGACTTTGTGCTGTTGAAGCAAGAGAGGTGAGCAGAGTAAGTCTGATTCCCTGTAAGGACTTCTCTGTTGACATCCACCCCTTTGCGCTCATATATGACCATATGCAGTTGCGAGCACAGTAAAACCTCTACTAAAACAAACAAGTAGATTGTATTTATGTAATGCCCGTTACCTCAGTGCTTGCTTGTCGTATCTCCACTTTTTTTAAACAGTGAAAATGTGACTTCTTCTCAAGCTCACTCTTTGATATGAACTGTTTTCAATGTTTAAAAAAATGGAGATGCGGCTGCCACCCGGGCAAAATTCAAAATTAATTCCTACCAAGCCAAAAATGTTTCAGATGTCCTCCACACTCATATGACCTTATGCAGTTGCAAGTGTCGTAAAACACCTACAAAAAAAAAGAGTAGGTGTGCTGTAATCGGATTCTCACCTGGTTAGACAAGTAAAAACATTAGCCTTCGCATCATCACATGAGCACTTGAAGTCACAACCATCAAACCAAGTCTGCCCTTCTGTGTAGAACATTCCTTTGTACACACACAACTCTGAAAAAAAAAGCAAGATATTTTAACGTATGATGTATTTCTTAGTGAAAAGTATATTAGCAATAGAATTTTTTTTTCTTTTATGAGTTTGTCCCATTTATCCTTTCAGAGGAATTGTTGAAGGACATTCTGATTAGTAAAACAGGCCTCAAGACCTCTACCTTGCCTTCCCTTTTCTTTCACTCTTGGGACCTAAAATCCCGTCCTTCCTACCCATCCCCTTCTTTGTTGGGAAGAAAAAAACTTTCAACTCCTAAGCCAGTCTGTTTTAGTTTTAGAAGAGGTTTTACGGCATTCGCAACTGTAGAAGGTCATATGAGCACCAGAGCTAGTCTGTACGAGGCAAACACCGAATATCACTATACAAGATCGAAGGCCAACTTTCATCGAAATGGCAAGGCTCATTTAAAATTATCCAAAACACTATTCCATTGCTGAGGACAAAAGGGATCTCAGGGCTGGTGCATGATTCAGACAAGGTCATGGTAATAAAGAAAAAAAACCCCACAAGGAAGAAGTGGAAGTGGTCGTTTGTATGATGTTGTTGTTGTTGTTGTCGTTTTTATCAATCTAGCAACAGCTGGGCTCTCGCCCTTCTGTCCAATGCCATGTAGTGATAAGTGCAGGTTTGCCTCAGTTGCTGTAAAGTTACATAGAGTATGTTGTCAATGTTAGGTCTCGGAGGGAGACGGGTAGGTTGTTTGTATAAGCTGCTGTTGAAGCAGGTTCAGCTGCATGTCAGAAATGTCAAAGGGGAACAAAATGTCAGGAGAGCAGCCAGGGCTCATTACCTCAGAGTGCACTTTCCAACTGTATGTTTGTCCCCGCAAGTTTTCATTCTCTTTACCATGACAAGTCTTTCAATGTTTTTACTTGACAAAAAAGATACTGAATATCAAAGCAAAGAAGAAAACCTCTGTCAATAGACTACAGAAAACCTCACCCAACACAACCTCTTCCCTCCTTAAAAAAAATACTGACAAAGTCGGCAAGTTTATGTAAATGAGAAATGCTCTCCTCAGCATAACTTTCCTGGGTGTGCGGTTGGCGGGTGCTCTGGGGTGGTTTGCTCCTTCTTTCCTATCAAACATCTATCGTCCTGGTCTCTCCTCCTCCTTTTTTATGTTTTTTACTCTCTTGTAACACTTTTAATCTTTTCGGCACTTACATAACCTTATTATGTTGCAAGTGCCGTAAAACTCTTACTAAAACTGAAAACTACCTCTTCTTGGTGGAGACTGAGTTGTTGTGACTCGTGTGAAAGGTGCCAGCGTTGTTGTTGTCGTTGTTGTAGTTGTGGTGAGGCTCTCGTTCCTCTCTCCCTTGATGATGTCGTGGCCGGCCACAAAGTTACACACTGGCCGCTGACAGCACGGGTTGAACGGGTCCTGCTCTAAGTGACAGTACTGTGGTGGCAGGTCGACGTAATGCTCACACCTGGGAACAACCAACGGAAAAATTGAAACATTCCATAGACCATCTTTCATTTTCTTCTTTGTCTTTTGGTATTCATACAATAATAAATGAATAAATAATAAATTACACTTTTATTGATAATACATAAGTACATAAATACATAATTATGAATACATACATATATAAATTTTATACATGCACAAATACATTCATGTGAAAATCGTCAGTGTTTGGTAACTTTTCCAGTGAACTGATTAAAGAATTAACATCTATACATTCAGTATTCATGGAGGAAGTTGAAATAAGGGTAGTCATTTCTTTCTTTGGGGATATAGAGATTTGTATCTTAGTTTTATTGCAGCCTTGCGGTAGAATTTGTTCAGATCAAAGGGTGTTCCTCTCCAGGCTAAAGAAATAAAATGCAGCACAATTATGTGGCAGCAAACCCTGAGAACAAAAAAAGTATAATCCTTGAGTCAATTTCTGTATGGTATTTAAGTATAATTTATACTTGCTCCAGTGAACACTAATATTGCTGCTGAAGTCACAAAAATATGTAGCTCAAAATGAATAGTCCTCAAAGCCAACAATGTAACTCCCCGTTCTAAATTCAAACTGAGAAGATACAACACGCTCATATTTGTTAAACTTCATTTTTTGATAAACAAACAGAGCTATTAGAATGTCAACTCAAAAAACTGATGTTGCACCTATTTTTAAGGGGCCACAGGAAAAAATAGACATGGTCGGTAACAAATGGAAATCATGAGAAAATCAATTCTAAAACCTTACACAACTTCATTTCCATTACACTATTGGTTTATTATTTTAATTAAATATCCCTTTCACCTAATGGTAATAGTCAATGAGGCCAAATTCTTTTTAAACTATCCTCATAATTTCCATTTGAAAGGCGTGCTGACAAAATGGGTTACTTCTCGAAATCCACAAATGGAGATATTGGCCAAAAATGTCGTTCTTCTGTTGATGCCATATTCTTAAGTATAACATGCTTATTAGCACTTTATACTTAGAAATTGTAAAAACTTCACCTGTAAGCGTGATGTAAGGCCTATCTATTTCCATAGGTCTAGAATCCGAGGAGTAGCTCATTTTGTCTGCACGCCTCACATTTTGTAACCTTCATGTGGGCTTGTCATATGTTTTCTTACTTTTCAATACATCTGTAGCTTCCAGTCACTGCATCCTCACAGACACAATTGTAGGAGCATCCATCTTCCCATTTCTCACCGTGTGAGTACGTTTTATTCTTGTACACACAGTAACCTGAAGTACACAAAAGAGATCCTGCACTCAGTGTTCTTAAACATTGATGGGTTCAGGCTTTTTTAGTTTTAGCATGGGTTTTACAGCTTTTGCAACACAATAAGATCATGTAAATGCCAAAGGTTAGAGGTGTTACAAGAGAGTAACAAACAGAGTGGCGGTGGGTGGATCAAAATTTGGGTGGGGCTTAGGTAGCTTCCAGTTCTTTACCACCAAATAGAAAGCAACAAGAATTAAACAGTGATGATGTTTCTATACTCACGGTGAGCCACGGTAGTTCAAGAACCATTCAAACGAGAAGAGTTGCTTTTGTTTTCCATCTCTTTGTTTTTAGTTAAATTCTTGTTAATGGTGAGGACAAAGTCGATTCAACTCCAAATTTCCTTTAATTAGTTTTCGTGTGATGAAAAAGTTGCTTTACAAGTAGTTCGACCCGATTTATAACTGTTAAATCTCAGCAGCACACACACAAACATGCACACACAGCACTTCAAACATAATACTTCTATGAGCTAGATTATGCTGTGTGGTCGAGAAAGTTGAACGCACCCAACAAAGAACCAATGAACGCATAGGTATCTGTGTCAGTGGGGGAAAGTGTGTTTTCCCAGTCTTCTACCTTTTTACAAGAAGAGTTTCATTAAGGACAGTCTGTGGGAAAAGACCTCATCTTTGCTGAGCCCCAAAGACATTTGATTGGCTGCTGGGTTACTATAGTTGTAAGCGGTGACAACAGTGATTGGATAAGCGAGTAAGCCGCCAAGTTGATCACTCTGTGTTCATTGAGTGGGGTCATAACGGTTTCAACTGCTTATTTCATTATATATGGAGAAACTTTCATTTACTGTGGGATAGAGTTGGGGGTGGTGGGTGGGAAGGAGTTAGGATCTCAAGCCCGTGAGCCTTTCACTACCCACCGCCACTGAACAAGCACAAAAAAAAAGGAGGAGAGATCAGGAAGATAGATGTTTGATAGGAAAGAAGGAGCAAACCACACCAGAGCACTTACCAACCACTCACTGGGTTCACGCGTGCACACATTTTATAATTATAGACATGCACACAGATACTTGCAACATATTCTTACATATCTTAACTGCTTGTAACATAAAGAAAAAAAGAAAAAAGGGATGAGAACAGAATATCTGCCAAATGAATCCCCAGAACATGACACTGGAGGCACTTTGACAGACCCCTGAATTTGATGCCCATTGCCATAAAATAAAATAAAGAAGAATGAAGAAGAAGATAGTAATAGAGACAAAACTTCTGCCAAAGAAAAGACAGAAAAATCATAATTTAATCCAGCGACAAAATATTAATTTGTAAATTGATTCAATCCAGAACTGGCAACAAGATGTCCTATACAGAGACACCAGAAGAAAAATTGTCGTGAGATAGCACGTAACATCAGCTCTGTAATTCAAAATTTTATATTCCCATTTAGCCCGGAAAAAATACAGTGAGACAAAAGCTAGTGTTAATGCTAGCCCCGTAACTGCAGGACAACTGAAGAGTGGTTTTCCAAAACTCAGTAAGTCAGTCTTGACGAGTGCCTGATTTCACCACAATGCTACACACATATATAATACAAATGTATGTGTAAAACGTTGGGATGAAATCAGGCACTCGTCAAAACAGACTTACAGAGTTTTGGAAAACCACTCTTCAACTGGGACAAGAAAATTTTTTTAAATTTTCACAATAGATTCCCTGTGAAAATGTTGGGAACAGCTAAACAATTACAAAAATAATAGATGAATTAGATGTCGTGCCGATATTCATCTAACTACTGTTTATGCAAAGCTGTCCCCGTGGTTTTATGCACAAAAAATTCAGAAATTATACAAAATTGTGAAATTATGCGATTCTGTTAATTTTAACAAAGAACGATAAAGAAAAATAATCAGAAATAATGCAAAAAATGATCAAATTTTGCTAAATTATGTGGGCTGCATAAAACCCCGGGTACAGATGTAGAGTAATGAAGTTTCCTCACCATAAACGTTAACAGGAACTGGTGTGGTCGGTGCTTTCACAGTAATCCCACTGAAGGTGACTGTGAATTTTGTCGTGTAGTGTCCATAGATGAGATCATTGATACTCGGTGACATCACAGCTCCGACATTTGTCACCTGTACAGAAAGAAATACGCCATTCTCTAAAGTCATACGACATGATATGTGTGACATAATCTTATTTCTCTTTTGGGAGCAAAACAAGAATAAAGGGAATGGATGGGGGCGGTGGGGGGGTGGGGGGGAGAGATGGAGTTCATGTGATTAAAAGTAAGTGCTAATTACAGACAAGACTGTTTTAAAGCCCATATACAGTGCAATACATTTGGGTCCCTGCTCCCCTCTACCACCCTACACACTCAAATATATCATACTTTGTGCTAGTGTGTAGCATTATCTTGCCACTTGGAAACCAGTTCATTTGTGCATTTCTAGCAATCTACACTTTCCCCCAGTCAGAAACCCCATCTTTATGTCTCTAGAAATAAAGGCTACTTAGCCTAATTCCACACTTTATAGCAAAAATTGCACGGCGTTAATTCATAACGTGCATTCCACATAAATAAATACAACATAGTACATAGGCCTACATGGTCTGTGAGTGGTTGGTGGGTGCTCTGGTGTGGTTTGCTCCTTCTTTCCTACCAAAATTCTATCGTCCTGATCTCTCCTCCTTTTCTTGTCTTTGTTACTCTCTTGTAAAACCTTCTAATCTTTGGCACTTATATGACCTTATTGTGTTGCAAGTGCCGCAAAACTTTTACTAAAACTATTACATGGTCTGATATATTTGATGGCTTAAAAAGATGAACAAAATTATCAAAGAGGCCACTAAATGTCAAGGAGAAAAGTAACTGTCTTAGACAGGTGAACATATGGGACAGTGTTATAACAATGTAAAAAAAATAAAACATTAAGGGGGGAGGTAGGAAGCAGCCGTTTGTACTCATGATTGTCTTTGACAGGTGGCTGTTAGAGTAGGCTCAACAGTATTATATGTCACGACGCCGTGGAATCAGGCGCTCGTCCATTTTTGGGCATGTGGAGTTATTAGTAAAATCCGAAAGCTTATTTATTTGCCTTGCTTTTGATTTAAAAAAGTACCCTTCTATTTTTAAAAGAAGTTGAGATATTTGCAATTAAAGGAGGTGGGGGTCACCTAGTTTCAGAGGTAAAATAAGTGAGGAAATGTCCTTCAAAGTTTGGTAATTTCAAAAGCTTGAGAGTCCTTGAAAACTTGATATTAACACATTTTGTGCCTTCAATCTATGTTTTCCAGGAAAATTCACATGGAAATATGTTTTTTATGGGGATAAAAGGTGTTGAGGTTAAAAAAAAAAAAGTTTAAATTCAATAAAAATTGACAAACTGGCTGAAATATGCCTGTTCCTTCGATTTCATTATTTTGACGAGCGCCTGATTTTACTACGATACCTCACATATAATTTGAACTTACAATATGTATTCCAAATGAAGAAATATATCCGGGTCAAGTAGAGGACTCACCGTCTTAGCATAAGTAGGTAAAGGGAAGTAAGGAGTGCCGCAGTTCGTAGGGAAGGTACAGCAGGTGTCGCTCGGGTCGGGTTTCATCTCACAGGTGGAAGGAGCGTTGTTGTATTTCGGACACCTGAGGGAGGGACAAAAATCAATTTCCCTCTAGCTAATGTCAAACTATCGTCTTTGGCGTAAAAAAAATGCAATACTAATAATTAGATTTTTTTTAAAGGGTCATCAGCTGGGTATATGAGACTATCATGAATAAATTACTGCTAGATCTAGATCTGATTCTTTTTTTTAAAAGCCATAAATGGCTTTAAAAAAACACAGAATAATTTCAGATATATGGTTCTGTGACTCCTAGAATTCACATTAGATTCCGTTATGTTTGAACATAACTTGAAAACTTTTGAAAAGAAGAATTTACATTCATATCACAAGAATGACTATGAAACTATAACTGACAACAGTGTTGGAAACTCAAATAGGTCACGTTAGAGCCTGTAATGTCTCTGAAATCAAGGAAAATCTACCTCTGTATGAGAGTGCAGCAGCACTCGGAGCATATATATATATATACTTGTATGACAATGACAATCTTTATTCATCTCGCAGGGAGAAATTTGTCTTGGTCGTTAAAACAATGGCAGCAGACGTTACAAAGGTTAGGTGCACTCACGCATAAGTACAACAAGACAGGACATAAGTAAATACATGTCTCACATGCTGGGACATCCCACTCCGTAAACCATTCTCTCTCTCTCTCTCTCTCTCTCTCTCTCTCTCTCTCTCTCTCTCTCTCTCTCTCTCTCTCTCTCTCTCTCTCTCTCTCTCTCTCTCTCTTTCTGTTTCATTTGTAGCACTGTGTGTTCAGTGACCTCACTGCAGTTGTTACGAATGAATTTCTGTATCTGTCTGTTCTTGCTTTTTTGGAAATGTATTATTTACTGCGGGTCGATAGTTGAAATTCTGATGTCACTGGGTGGCTATCTATTATCATTATTATTATTATTATTATTATTATTAATATTATTATTATCATTATTACTACCTCTCCCTGCAATCGTAGCGCCCTGAAGCAGCGTCCAGACAAACACAGCTCAGTCTGCAGCCGATGTGCCACTGTTGACTCTGCACGTACACTCGCCCCTCAAACAGGCAGCCATCTAGTCAAAACACAGGAAAGCATACTGTAGACCAGCTGTTAGCATGCACCAGGCCCAAAGTTTAGGATAAAAAATGTTGTTTCAGTTTCTTAACCCTTTGAACCCTTGATACCGGCACACCAGTGGGGCATCAAATTGCCCGTATGTCTGTAATATTGTTCGGTTTGTGGGTACAAACAGATTTTGATGGGGTGAAGAAACGCATGCTTGAAAGGACTCTTTGCTGTCTTCTAGTACACTGTAACCGAAAAGTGACTACTGAGTAAAACAAAGGTACTGTCTAAATCCCGATACGTTAGATAATGGTTATAACACAGGTGTTATGTAATGTACATTATTCCACAATGTCTAGCCACTGGTATACCGGTGAGCAAACCCCTGTCCACAAATCGGCCCACCTGAGACAAATTGTGCATGGAAAACAGCGTTTACTACACAGAACGTAACTGATTATTTTGAAGATCTTTCAGAATTAGATCCTGGTAATGATGACAGGACTTGCCAAAACAATCCTATAAGGAACCGTACAAGGAAAGAGAAAGACCAGAAGGCAGAGAAGGAGATGGGAGGACAACATCACAGAGTAGGCAGGGAAGACGATTGGTGACAATCTGAGGAAAGCAGAGGACAAAGATAAATGGCGAGAGCTGGTTGTCAGATGCAGTGGTGCCCCCATGATTGCCCCAACCAAGGAGGAGGAGGAGGAGGAGGAGGAGGAGGAGGGGGAGGAGGGGGAGGAGGGGGAGGGGTAGGAGGAGGAGCAGGAGGAGCAGGAGGAGGAGGAGGAGGAGGGGGAGGAGAGAAGAAGAATGAAGAGAACTATCCTGAGGGGAAATGTGGAATGGGATTCTGATGATGATATGAATGAAAGCATGAATTGGTCAGGAGCACAGGCAGAGGTGCACAGAAGCCTCAGGAGTTCAGGGCTCGTTTGATGATAGTGCTTGAGAGATGTTTTGTCAACAACAACAAAATTCCAAAAGTTGAAAAAAGCAAGGAAAGATACATATTGTAGGTGCAACTTTTCCAAAATAAAAGTTTGTTCTCTCTCCTGAAAAAGTGAACTTTCTGGGCTTAGATCATTCAAACAGCTTGCTGACGATATATAAGACAATAAAACAGAGAGTCGCAATTTGTCATGACAGACAACTAGAGGGATGTTCACAGACGCTATCTGATCATTTAGGAAAATAACAACAATTTAAGGAAGATTTTTGCATTTCTGATAAATTTATCTCAAGGTTCTCCAAAACTTTAAGTCAAAATGAAACCAAAAGAAGAAAATGATCAGAAATCAAAAACTGACTTTTCCTATTCTCAAATGCAGAATGTTTACAAAAGTAAACTAGACAGAACAAAGTTTAATAATAATAATAATAATAAATAGCATTTATACTGCGCATTTCCATTTCCTAAAAGATGCTCAATGCGCATTACAATGAAAAAGACATCACATCTTAAAAATTAATCGACACAAATGTGTACGTAAAACAAAGTATTATACATATAATATAAATGCATATGTGTAAAATTTTATACCAGAAAAACAGTCTCGCAGTGAGGTTGAAAATGTGTTCACTAAAAATATACAATGCAATATAAATTCACGAACAGTCAAAATACAGTTGAAACGTGAGTAACTAGAAACATTCATTAAAACATTAATTCTATACAGATAGAAAAACATTTCCACTCTATCTCTCTCTCTCTCTCTCTCTCTCTCTCTCTCTCTCTCTCTCTCTCTCTCTCTGTCTGTCTGTCTCTCTCTCTCTCTCCCTCTCTCTCTCTCCCTCTCCCTCTATCTCTCTCTCTCTTTCTCTCTCCCTCTCTCGCTATCTCTCTCTTTTCTCTCTCTTTTCTCTCTCTATCTCTCTCTTTTTCTCTCTCTCATTCTCACTCGCTATTTCTTCAGTCTCACAGTCTGGCATACACATGCATATATATCACAGTACATCATTATGACAGGTATGCTTTTGTGAATAAAAAATGCTTCAGCTGATTTTTGAAAATGGAAATTGTTGGGGCAGATCTTATTTAACGGAAAAAAGCGGAACAAATTGAACGAATAAAATGTTCTCCTTTGGATACTTACGGACCTCAACTGCTTAACACTTTTCCATCATATTTGGGGGAAAATCCAAAGAAACAGGATGGTAAACATCACCAATTGGCGAGATGAGGCGGCAAAGTGTTAATGAACTTAGATTTTACTCAGTAACCACAAGGTCAGAAATTAAAGAATTAAAAAAATTATTTAGAATAAAATCCCACAAATCACTCTTATCACGAAAAGGAATTAAATTGACGCTAGTTCTTTTAATACCATACAATTTCAAGCAGCACCTTATAATCTTTTCCAAATAAATTTACCAATTCTATTTCCGCGTCCAAAGTTGACAGGAGTGCCTGATACAGAACCGGACACTGTGGGCATCACGTCAATGGTGCTTCCATTAGGACCTGGCATAGTCAGTCCCCCACCGTTGCCAATACTGTTCACATTGGTGGCTATCGAGAAATGAATCGAGAAAACATCATATTATATTTTAATTGAACAGATCAATAACTGAACAATTCCTTTCTCTTTTTCAACACCTAAAGAATTATGCTAGACAATTATATCTGAAAAATTATTGATGAGCCTCACAATTTCTTAATTCAAGTATCAAAACATTTTTAACATCAAATTAGCAAGAAAATTAACTTGTTCACTAAAGACTAAAAAGATTTTATTTTAACTGATAGAATACAGAAATAAGTTTCTAAAACAGTATTGCTAATTTAAAAAACTCACCCCTTTTCAATACAAAAGGCAAAAGTATGACTTTGGTTAGAACAAGCAGCTAATGTATTTTGAAAAATAAAACAAAAAATTTGCCCTTTTGCCTCAAAATTACTAAGTAGTGCTCTTGACAATGTTCTTAAAAATAAAAAAAATCAACTTACCAGTTTTTGTCCTATCCTAAACATGTTTCCCTTTCAATTTACAGTGAATTAGTTTGAAACTATTTGCATTACCTGATGGGTAGAAATTGCCTTTACTGCAAACAACTTGAGGACAACATTCTCCAATCTTTCTTTGAGTCTTACAGCCTGTTGGGAGGTCACTGTACTCCGGACATCTGGATACAAAGACATTTCAAGCAATCAGAATTAAATGTGAGGCATCCTGGTGGACTAGGTGCTTGTCAAAATAATGAAATCGAAGAAAAAAGCATTTTTCCTCCAGTTTGGTAAATTTTATCAAAATTTCGCTTTTTGGCTAAATACCTTTTATGTTCATTTGAAAATACATTTGTAGGTGAATTTTACTGGGAAATCCTTGTATAAAGGCATAAAATATGTAATTTTCAGTTTTCAAGGACTCTTAAGCTCATTCTTTGTTATGAACTATTTTCACTTTAAAAAAAAATACAACCAGAAAGCACTGAGGTCGCAATATATAGGTCTGGGAGGAGAAATAAAGCTTAAAGCTAGCTTTTGGGGATTTATTTGCAGTAGGATGACCACATAATTATTATTGTAGACTATAACCATTAAATAATATTCTTCGTCAACCTCCTTGAATCACATCAGAATTACTTGTTGTGACATCTGTAGTATCCGTAGGCGGGGACCTCGCAGGTACATTCTAGATCACAGTCTACAGACCAGGACTCTCCCAATTTGTAAGGCTTGCCATCATACAGACACACATCTAAAGAAAGAAAAATATGTACATTTTGAATAACAAAACATGCTCTAGCAGAGATACAAGATGAAGAAGCAGAAAGAAGTAGAGTAACAAACAATTAATTATAACATCAAACCTTCGAAATGAACCTGAGAGCAAAGAGTAGCTTGGGGGTGGAGGGGGTTTTGGTCCTTGAATCCATAGTTAAACTTGTTGTCGTGAGTGCCCATTACAGAGGCATGCTACTCAATGCTAGAGACACAAATCAGAGCAAAAAGGTAAGAAAAACAAAACACCACATCAATGTAGTTACTGAGGCAGTTTTTCAACCCCCATGATGAATTGGGACAAAAGGAACATCAAGAATAGACAAAGAATGAACATATATATTTTCATACACTTTTATCTTGAAAATAAATCATTGAAAATTTAAGTAATAAATGCTAGGACTCCACAGTTACATCTTATATCTCACTCTTATTGTCGTTTTGTTTTTACTCCTATCAGTAATTTGTTGAAGACAAATTGTATAAGCCTACAGTTCTTTACCATTTTCTGGTATTCCTTTGTAGCGAACTGAAGGAAGACAAATCCACATAGAAATGGCCATGCAAGTGCTTTGACTTTGATAAACCAAGGTGGTAATAAAGTAGGTCCTTCACTTTGATAAACCAAGGCTGTAATAATATAGGCCCTCTACTTTTTTTTTATCCACCCCTTTCAGATCATAGCAACCAGTAGATTGTACTGAAGAAGCTGTCCCCGATATAATATTGTAAAATATGAACAAAACTTACCATCCGGTGTTGGAGCAGGAGTCACAGGAACTGCAAAGAAGAAAATGTTGAAAAGGGAAACAGTAAAATGCATGGACATATTATTATTTTCTACAAAACGTTCCTCCTCAAAGATTTGCAATACAAAACTTAACGAGAGATGTACATGATCCGAACAAAATTCTAGGGGTTTGACTTTCTTTTAATTTTTAGAGGTGATATAGGCTGATTATCGACTAATTAGAAGAATTAGGATGGAATTTTTAAAGTTTTATTGAAAAGTTGGTCTCCTTGGTGGCCATCTTGGATTTTTTGCCATGTGCGGGGACAGACGTTTTCCACAGAAAATACTGGAATTTAAGCCTCAAACTTGACACACAAATACACAAACTTATTATCTGTGATCCGATGCTAAGATTGTTTTTCTATCAAGAAAAACAAAAAAAATATATATCACCGGACGATTTCCAAAAAAAGGGGAAAAGTAACACAAAATCGAGAATATTTTAAAAAGTAATCCTTATTTCACAAAATATTCACATCAGATCACAAAACATTCTATACAGCGCCCGTGTGCCAAATTTCAAGTTTGTAGCTCAGATAGAATTTAAAAAACGTCTGTCCCCGTATAGTCACTATAACGAAAACATAGTTTTTGAGAAAAACGCAAAAGAAAAACCCCACCGATTTGACAACGTGAAAGTTCGAAAACCATAGTTTTTAAAACAATAAGTTTGATATTTTTAAAACATTCGCCCCTCTCTGATATATTAAATGGATTTAATAAGGTTATATGTTCATTTCCCCCCGAAGTAAGCATTCAATGACAGGTGAACATGATCACCTACAGTAATTTTTAGTAAAGTTACTACCCTTGATCAGTCACGTACAAATCAGAACAATTGTTCAGTAACACGCTCCGAGATTACACCAACACATACATGCACACACACACATACCAACAAACAATCAAACAAACAAACAAACAAACACACATTCACACATATGCACTCACACTTTGAGTGTGGATGAGTGAGTGAGTGAGTGTGCGATGAGCGCATGTGTGTGTTTGTCACGTATCCCAACTCTGATGAAATCCAACCAAGTGCTCACATTTTCAAAATCCGTCAAGGGCATTGTAAAATGATTTAGGAAAATGAGAACCATTTGTGAATTTAGGTTACAGGAGAATCCCACTATTCGTTACAGAAGTTCTGGGCAGTCAAAGAATGTGCTTTATGTGGCAACAGTCATGAGCTAGAGACACACTCTCTCGTTCAGTGTTGAAACGTGATTTACTACCTTCTGCCTTCTGGTGCTGCTTGAGAAGAATTTTATTTGTCGAGCAATTTGCTCCACGTTTTGCCTCAGTTCACAAAGACTGGGAAAAGTCTGTACACACATCTGTACCACAGTTGGAAGTCCAACGAGTTCAGGCTGGGATTGTGTGCAGCTCAGGCACAAGGTATACCGCAACTTCTGTAGAAGTGATTCTGGTCCCACTCGATGACTAGAGCTAACAGTGTGCTCCTTCTTGCTTGAACCACAGTCATTTCCGCTCCTGAGGTCCCACATAATCTTCCCAATGATCTTCAACACCGATCAAGAATCTTCACATATTGATCTACTACCACAGTTGCTATACCATAGTCTTCAACAATGAACCAGTTCGGACCAATTAATCCTACTGCAACCCACGCATTCTGTGTGCGCAGGTTGCGGTCAACGAGGTTGTCTGGTCTTTCTGAACTCCAATGAATGTCATTTCTTGTGTTCACGTCTCTGTTCAAATAAAAAAAGGGCTTCATCACAGAACCACTCTTTCTATGAATGAATTATCATTATCCTCAAGAAATCATAGCCACCATTTGGTCTGTTCCCCGGTGTGGGAACCGGAAATGACTTGGTATATCGAAATGGCATGCCTTCAAATCGAGAATGTGTATGAAAATTTTGTCAACAGAAATGTTTCGAAAGATGGAGTTCAACTATCTGATGACTAACTATGTCATTCATCTTTCCTTTTGTTAGACACAGATAAACATGTCCGGCCTTTTGAAATCTACAAACCTTCCAAGGATAGTGTTGTTTGATTGCAGACTGCAGCCCATCCTATTGTTGATTTTCGACGATAACGTTTGGCTCTATGAGGCAAGCCATTTTCACTTATTATCCTATCGTGAGTCTCAAGATGTACGCTTGTCCAGTTGCCCCTCCCGTTTACTTTACTTGTCCAAGATTGATAGCTTTCCATCTCTGACTGAGTTCCCCCGTCTTTGTCGTTACGCATCGTTACAATTTTTAAAAACGCATCCACCTTTGGACGTGTAGAGTGAACGCACCTTTAGAACAGTTATTGTGGCGTAGGCCTGACGGACACCTCAAGTGACTTCAGGCAAGGTGCGAGTAAACGAACTACCACTCACCAGCTGGAGCCGAGAGAAGCAACATCAGCTAATTGAGATCTACTACAACACCAGTAGGTGGAGCCCCACCAACATCTCCAGGTTCTAGATCTACTACTGCAAGACTCAAGACTCTACAAGTAAGTCATAACATGACAGTTTGACACAAGACCTAGTTTCTCACCACAAAGGTTGCAGTACTTTGCACAGTGCTCCTGGGCCCACTGGTCATATTCCCGGCACACAGACTTGCCGTAGGAGGGGCAGTTGTTCACTTTGTCCGTGCAGCTCCGGTCAGGAGGAGAGGCATCTGTGAATAGACAATTGATGAATTGTAGTTTTAATTAATGTTACCTTTCACTTGCAACGTTTGAGTTGTAGTAAGGCATAAATCAAGTGGGTCCCCGGGCACCCGGCGACTGCTGTGTCTTGCCTGTTCTCTCGGTAGGACTCTTTCTTATATCTCGTTGAGTGTTCAGTGTCCGGTCGATCTAGTTCGCACTCATCAGTGCACGCGGAAAAAAATTAAACGTGTGCGCAATCAGTCAGCCAAAAAGTTATCCCCAAAACTCATCAGGTTTTGGGGACATGAAGTGCTAAAATCTCGGCTCTCATCATCATCATCCAGTGCCAGATCTGCGACAGACATCGGCGATCATGATTTTCCATTCATTCCTTTGCTCAGATGCTCTCAGAAAAGCTACGTTTCCCTGATTTTTCCCTGTTACCCATTTGTTTAGGTTCCCTAAGTATGTTGTTCTGGGCCTACCCCTGCCTCGCTTGCCCTCAATTTTGCCAGTGAGAGCTAGATGTTCAAGACCCTTATGTCTATTCAGGTGTCCCAAAAACTGCATTTGTTGTTTCCTGATTGTTTTTAACATTGAGCGTCCCACGTGGGCTTCATCAAGCACTACCTCATTTGATTTCTTTTCCTTCCACGATACTCTTAGCAGTCTCCTAAGAAACCACATTTCTGTTGCCTCTATTTTATTTTCACTGTCTTTAGTGATTGTCCAGCATTCACAGAGATATTGAGGGGAGGGGCAATTTTTGGTGAGCAGCAAAGTGGGTGGCCTCTGCTGTTGATGTGACTTTTTTTTCTAGGAATAAACATTTTCTTTTATATAAATAAAGACTGCATTTCATATTAACTTCAGTAATTACATTACACATTCTATATATAACTTCTCCTCCCATTCAGGGACTCATAACTTTGTTTTTACACATTTGTCAAAAGTGGGTAAAAAGGTAAGTTAAGTATGTTTGACACTGCTGACAAAACTCACAATCAGTTACTTGAACAAAAAAATGCCTACAATATAATACAAGTAAGATTCAAATATAAATTCATAACATCAAAAGGCAAAGTAATAATATTTTATGAGAAGAAATTAAACTAGTGCCAAAACCTTAACCTTATTGACTAGACAAAACTTACTAATTCCGTTTCCAGAAAGTGTGCCAGAACCAGTAGATATTCCTGTCAGAGTCTGGAACTCACAAACAGGCGAAGCACAACAGTCACCAGCTTTTTTCACCAGCTGGCAATAGCTAGGCACTGAATCGTATGTTGGGCAGCTGGTGAAAAGCGGTAAAAGCAACACGTGAATGAGTTTAATGTGTACAAAATCAGAAAATCATTTTGCGCAGATTAGCAAGGTCAAAACTCAAAATTGTGCTGTGCGAATCAACTGCAACAATTTAATGCCAACAGCCCCTCTTCATGCCAGCTTTTGCTAATGTATGAAAAGGAATGCCTATTTAAATATGCTTTTTGCCCCTTTTAACTGCAATCTATCAAATGTCTAAATTGTATGGTCTTTACAAGAGGAAAGACAATTTGCCTCTTAACTCCGCAAGTTAATTCATTTGTACCAACTGCAGTGAAGTTACTGAACACACAGTGCTACACATGAAAGAGAGAGAGAGAGAGAGAGAGAGAGAGAGAGAGAGAGAGAGAGAGAGAGAGAGAGAGAGAGAGAGAAAGAGAGACAGAGAGAGAGAGGGAGGGAGAGAGAGAGAGAGAGAGCAGTGGCGGTGGGTAGTGAAGGGCTCACGGGCTTGAGCCCGTACCCCCTCCCCAACCACCACCCCCAACTCTATCCCAAAGTAAACGAAAGTTTCTCCATAATGAAATAAGCAGTTGAAACCGTTATGACCGCACGCAATGAACACAGAGCGAACAACCTGGCGGCTTGCTCGCTTATCCAATCACTGTTGTCCCCGCTTACAACTATAGTAACCCAGCAGCCAATCAAATGTCTTTAGGGCTCAGCAAAGATGAGCCCTTTTCCCACAGTCCGTCCTTAATGAAACTCTTCTTGTAAAAAGGTAGAAGACTGGGAAAAAATAACACTGTACCGAGGGCTCACGCTCTCCTAGCCCTGACAATGGGGTAAAAGTTTACGACACACTTTCCCCTACTGACACAGATACCTATGCGCTCATTGGTTCTTTGTTGGGTGCGTTCAACTTTCTCGACTACACGGCCTAATCCAGCTCATAGAAGTATTATGTTTGAAGTGCTGTGTGTGCAAGTTTGTGTTTGTGCTGCTGAGATTTAACAGTTATAACTTTTTCATCACACAAAAACTAATTAGAGGAAATTTGGAGGTGAATCGGTTTTGTCCCCACCATCAACAAGAATTTAACTAAGAACAAAGAGATTGAAAACAAAGGCAACTCTTCTCGTTTGAATGGTTCTCAAACTGCCGTGGCTCACCGTGAGTATAGAAAAATCATCACTGATTAATTCTTATTGCTTGCTATTTGGTGGTAAAAAACTGGAAGAAACCTAAACCCCACCCAAATTTTGGTCCACCCACCGCCACTGGGAGAGAGAGAGAGAGAGAGAGAGAGAGAGAGAGAGAGAGAAAGAGAGAGAGATTGTTTCACGGAGCAGGTTGTCATGTATTTACTAAAGTCCTGTCTTGTTGTGAGTGCATGAGTGCATCTAACCCTTGTAACAACATCTACTGCCATTGTAAACGACCAAGACAAATTTCTCCCTGCGAGAAGAATAAAGATTGTCATTGTCATTGTCAAGTGAACTGGCCACCAAAGGTACACATTACACACGGCTTGTACTTTACAGAAACACACAGCCCAACTGTGATAATTTTCCTGTTATCCCTACAAGAGTCTGCCAGTAAGTGTCCATCATAACTAGAAGCCTGAAGGCCATCTCATCGTTTTGGACAAAGGGAAACAACTCACTATGCTATTGTCCTTCATCTGTTCATTGCAGACTAATTTCTCTTCACGCTGAACAGTCGCTGTTATATAACAGAGGACATTTAATTAAACAATATACTGGCAGGCTTGCTTTACCGTCAAATTCACTCTCATCCCAGGGTAGGTGAAATATCAAGGTTTGACTGTATTACATTATTAGACAACTCTTGCTTTTCTTAACTATCTTTATAAAGATACTAACACTGCTATCAAATACCACTTTAGGTCAATGGTAGAACATTCTTATTATGTCCTTTAATTTTCTTCAAACGAAGATATTGAGACATTTGATTATGCCATGATAAACAGAACTGCATACGACAAATGGTCAAAAAAATATACCATCTCTCATTTCTTCAAAATCAATTTAGGGACTTACTGAGAGGGAATACATACAAACAGATTGAAACTTTGAAAGTTTTCACACAAAACAAATAAAGTACTGTAAGAGGCCCAAACAATTTATATTAAAAACCCATTATTGTTTTACAAAAAAAAGCAAAAGACTCACTATGACTGGCAGATGTAGGTTCCAGTTTGTGAATCGGTGCACGTGCACCTCAGGTCACAGCCGACGTCCCAGCTCTGACCATTGAAGTATTGCAAGCCTCCATAGACACACATGGCTGCGTGTGAGATCAACAGGAAATCAAACAAAAGAAAATAATATATTTTGCAAGAGGTTTTATGTATAGAAGAAGAAAAAGTCCCATAAGGTCAAAAATTTACATACAAATCCTTCATTAACATTAAAAATGCAAGACGGATGTTTGAATTCTCCTTCACATCCATTTTTCTAACAGACATTGCTGATAACTTCAGGAATGAACATTTGACATCAGAAGTCTTTTTTACGGATGTTTTTCTATTTCTTTTTTGCCAAAGGCTTTGAGTTTCACATAAGTGTTCCCAAAGTAAATACCCTTGCATCATCTTAAAAAAGTGACAGTAACAATAATAAAGTGTCTGCTGATAAAGATTGTATCTAAAATGTATGTTTTCTCAAGTGAAATTTCGAAGGACATAACTTATTTTTCCGAGCCAAACAACAGGGAGAATATTTGTGGCCTATATTTTTTGACAATGGGCAGAAAGTGGCATGGAAATAAACTGCGTCAAGACCATTAAGATTTCGATAAAATGATATAAAAGCTTACGGTACTGTAAACAGTAACAGCTTATGGTAGCCCAGATATCCAATTCTCAAAAGCTTGCAAAAACATTATTTGAAAAATTTCACTGTCATGAGTGAGATTACAAGAGACATTACATTTTTCCAAGAGGTGGCCTCCAGGTAGACAATTTGTGGATCATATAGGGCTACGATGATGAACATAAGGTCACACCTTGTTACACCATGTCCACAATGTTGGGGTTACTACAGTCGGGGAACATGTCCATCTTTGCCCCCCCCCCTTCTTCAGGATCCATCCAAGAGTCTGTCTGCCTACAGTCTCCATCATACTAATCTGGTTGGAGATCCGTCAGACTGGTCCGCACATGAGTAGCATAATAAGGAGTAGCACTCGATTGAGTTGAGAGGATTTCCGTAAAACAACGTTGCAGAAGTCTGTCCGCTGAAACAGTTTATGGTGGCCATGGATACTCATTTCTCAAAACCTTCATTCACCTCTAAGAACACAATCTAGCTAGTGTTCTTACCAATCCCCTGTGGGTTGACCCCTTTCCCCGATCCCTGTGATGTGGTGACCTTCTGTTTGAAATCACACACAGGCTTCAAACAGCACTCATCAGGAACAGAAATCAGAGTGCACTCCGGCGGAAGGTCAGAATACACTGGACATCTGTAAAAGTAAGACATTTGCATACAGATCAACAGCAAGATATCAAAGAAACAATTTCAGCGCTGTTATAAGAATGATCTCTCTCTCTCTCTCTCTCTCTCTCTCTCTCTCTCTCTCTCTCTCTCTCTCTCTCTTAGTATTCTTAAAGTACAAAATGAATGTCTTACCTTGTAGACACCACTCAGTGTTCAATATCACTAACTAGTTTTTCAATAACATATTATTTGTAACAAAAATAAAGAACTATGAACAAAATTTCCTTTTTTTTTTTAAACAGTTGTCCATGGCTTGGTTTTCTCATAGCTACAAAAAATTAAAATGTACTGAGTCTGTGCTATGATCTAGTATGCATTACACACAGTTTCTATTTTTGCAGGTAGATGGCACGTGATGTTTTATTGAAGGTAGTGGCATATTTTGCTATTAGTGTGATTAAAAAATGCTATTTGTCTATATTTTGTTCATTGTATCGTCTTCAATTACATAAGTCCCTGGCACTTACATGACCAAAATTGAGTCGATAGTGCCGTTAAACACCTACTCAATCACTCAAAAACTTAAGTCCCACCTCACCTGTTGAAGCATCTATAGGATCCTGTTTTTCCATCTTCACAAATGCACTCATAGTCACACCCATCAAGCCATTTCTCACTATGCCCATACTCTTTGCCTTTGTAAAAGCACTTTCCATCTGAAAAAGAAATAATACTGAATTTATTAAACACCGAAAGTACTTTATAGATTTAAAAGAACCTTAATGTGGCTTAATGTGGGTTATACAAGTAGGTATTGGTACAACTGAGGAAAAACAAGTCTCTGATATCAAAATCATTGCTCTGAGAACATTTGAATTGATGATTCTGTAAACACTTAGAATATATATCTTATATTTCACAAAAGTGACAAGGAACTCTATGGATGAGATATCTTATACACTTTCAACCAAAAAGATATTCAGGTTGCAAGATATGGATGGTACAGAAAACATGTTATCACTTGTGAAGTTTTACGGTTATATTCACAAAGGTAGGAGAAATGTAGAAGAAAAGGAGAAACAGTGGGAGAGGTGAAATAAACATCGAGAAAGGAAGAGACAGAAAAAAAAGGAGTGAAAAAAAAAAAAAAAAAGCAGACATAATAAAAGTTGAATGAATTTCTATACGGAGGCGGGCAGAAAATGTGCACATCCCACTATTCCAATTGCCATGTCCATAAAAAAGTAAGCTGTCAAGTGAAGCACTCATCAGTACAGTCTACTTTCCAAAGACAGCTGGACATACAATATTCAGAGCCTTTGAATATTTGTGAAGTGTGCTAGCAAAATGAGTTACTTCTCGGATTTGAGCCACATAGAAATAGATTACAACACGCTTATAAGTGAAGTTTTTGCAATTTATAGGCCTAAGTATAAAATAATGAAAGACAGGTTATAGTTGAAGAATTTGGCATCAATAGAAAATCTACAAATTTGACCCTAATGTCGATTTTTGGCCAATGTCTCCTTTTGTGGACTGCGAGAAGTAACTCATTTTGTCAGCACACTTCACATTTTCTTCTGCTTCTCCCTGTGAATCACACGAACTGTGCATCCAACTTCTGTTAGCACGGCATGGGTATTATGCCCCCTTCAACATTGTGGGGCTACTGAAGAGACAGAAACTCCGAAATGAAAGTCCATCTCATGATCTCTTTAGTTTTAGTGAGAGTTTTATGACACTTGCAACACAATAAGGTCATATAAGTGCCGAAGATTAGAGGTGTTACAAGAGAGTAACAAACACAAAAAAGGAGGGGAGATAGAGATGATAGACTTTTTTATAGGAAAGAAGGAGCAAAGCACACCACACGTCCATGTCAGATAGAACTGAGCCAAGTCAGTAGAGAGACTTTGAACACCACCACCCATCCTCCCCCATTCCCGCATTCAAAAACAAACGGAGTACAAGATTTTCCCTTTGGAGATTCAAACCTGGGTCATCCCAGCATGAAACAAACTGAGCTAAATAAAACATGCTCCAACATATATATGCAATAAATCACAACCATTATTTTAATTACTTCTTTAAAAATGTATTTCTTTTAAGATTCTCACAATCAGGCGAGACAACTAAGAGAGTGAACCAATCACGCATCATTTCTTTATTAGTAGGATTATTAGAAATATATTTTCATCTCTGATTTTCTATATATAGACCTATATGCAGTAAAGAGAAAAAGTCACAGATAAAAAAAAGTTTACTCACAGTAACCTAAGGGTTTTGCCTCTCTTGCTGAAAAAGAAACATTTAATCAAATTTATGAATGTCATTAACTACAGAATTCCAAACAATACAAAAAGTAATAAATATAAAAAAGAAAGGCTCATTAGAAACAAAATTCAATTGAGCAGAAGTTTTGTTTATTACGGTGAAAAATAATGTACAAGTGCAACGACAGGTAGGCCTAATACTTCTACACTAAGGCGAGGAAGAGGAATATAGGGGCGCGACTTGGGGGAATAATATGCTACCCCCTCCATGAGAACCCTGATAGTGCTGCAGATGGCCAGGATGGTGAGGGAATGAAATCTCATCAGTGCCTGTGAAAATGCTTAACCTTATCCGTATGCCCTGGGATTATTTTGTACCCCCAGGGTTGTATTCTTTACATTTTAGAATACTTGTAGTGCGAAGATCTCTTTGAAACTTTTAGTATTTTTCAAAAAAATCATTTTGACAGACTGTTATGCAAAGCGTGCGGATCGGATTAACGAGTATATTTCCTCTTTGGAAAGTTGTGGCACAGAGTTCCCCAAGTCTATGGATACGATAGTAAAACACGACATCTATGGATACAGTTAAGTAATGCTCCAGCTCAAAAAACTTTCCTGGGTAGCCAGAGGCCAGAGGTGAGAAATTAGTTTGACCAATGCCTCGCCCTGCTTGTACGGCCAGCTGAGCATAAAGTTCCTTGAATAGTTGTTACTTGCACTGGAGGGGTGGCATTGGAAGCCTGTGCTTACTACACCCAATGGTGGGGCTAAGGGTGGAAGCAAAGGCGAGATGTTTAGTCATGCTTGTTTTTAATAGGTCAAACAGTCTATGAGATGCCATCACTGGTGGCAATGGATATTGTCAGACTAACATAATAATGTCAATACCACAGAAGATAGGATAGCATTAAGAGATGCGAACTTTTGACCACTGCTTGCCAACCGGACTGGCCATTCCCTTATCAGTACATCGTTTTTTACTATCGTATCGATACGATGGGGAGAACTCTGTGCCATCACTTTCCAAAGAGGAAATTTACTTGTTAATCCAATCCGTACACTTTTTTGAGAAATACTGAAAGCATTCTAAAATGTGAAGAATACAACCTCAATGGTACAAAATGACCCCTGGGTGTACAGATAGGGTGAATCCCACTGGTTGGGCATCTGGATCCCCTCTTCTTTTGTGATCTCCCCTGATTCCCCCCTGTCCAAGACGTAAAATATCTTTTAAAATGTTTCTGGTTCCCTTCTGATTCCATCTTTCTTAGACAGATTCCGCTATAAATGAACTTACGACAAAATCCACAGAATCTGGAGCAGTGAGCCTTTGCCCAGGTCATGTACTGATTGGAAGAACAGATGTAGGTTCCGTAGTTTGAACAGGACGCATCATCAGTACAAGGCAC